GAAAGAAAGAAAGAAAGAAAGAAAGAAAGAAAGAAAGAAAGAAAGAAAGAAAGAAAGAAAGTTTAATGGCTAATAAGATGTGGGCATCTAAGTACATGCTTACATTTGGGATACAACATCCTTCCATGTTACTATGGCTCAAAATGCAGGAGAAAATAGTTTGAATTCCTAGGAGTCGAGGAGAATTGACCCCGGGTTTAGCTGAATAAACAGTTGGTTCCCATATATTGTTATTTCACTTCCTAGAGAACAGGTCTCCACCTTAGAGACAAACAAAGTTGTCCTAGGAGTCCCTTTCTCGTTATCTGCTGCAATAAATGCATGAACATGAAGCTTTCACTTCATTTCATTTCTTTATTCCAAATACATTTCCTGCAACAATATACTTGCTTTTAAGGTTCCTTAAAATGCTTATCTATTTCCCCAAGCTAACAAAAAAAAAAAAAAACCCCACCCAAAACCACACTTAAGGATACTTACATGATAGAATAAAATAATCCAATAAACGCTTTCCAAAATGAGCAAGGATTTTCTAAAAAAGTCACAAAGGACTGTTAGGAGGAGAGAATATGCAACCGGGCAAACATGTAAAGAGAAAATTTTGACATAGCGAATTGGACTACAGAAAAAGAGCAAACCCACGCCACGCGCTAAACTCAGAATATTAAAAGGTTTGTAAAGATGATAACATTTTAAAATAAAAAAAAACTTGGGAGGGAAAAAACACTTTTTGCTGGGGCTGAAAGATGGATCAGGTCAGTCCCAAGCAGATCATTTGAAGAGGCCATCTACTAGATGGATCTCTTGCCAGATCACGGCTATTTGGTGACCATCCGAGGGCACGTGCAGAAATGCGCACTGCAAGATTTTAAAATCCAAAACTTTGTGGCAGAATAAACTCCAGAGTCCTGATATGTTTTTGACCTGGAGCGCTTAAGATCAACCGACCATCTTTCACACCCCGTCCAGCTTGTTAAAAACAATGGTTCCAGACCAGCCTTCCCCAAGCTGCTGCTTGCAGATGTGCGAGCATTAATAGCTGCTGGGAATCCTGGAAACTGTAGTCCCAACCCATCTGGATGCCATCAAGCTGGAGAAGGCCACTCTGGAGTCTACCAAGGGAGTTTGAAATGTCTTTTTTACCCCAGCCCTGCGGCTTCATTCTTTTGCTGAATTTACTTCTATTGTTCCGTCCTGGAATTTACTGCTGGTTAAAAGAATGCCATGAGAAAGAGAAACAGAAAGAGGGAGGGGAAGAAAACAAGGGATCCTTAGGTGGGGACAAAGTTTCAGATCTGGAAGGGGATGGTAGGAAGAACCACATCTGCAAAATTAAAGGGCTCTCTCCCCGGCAGCTTCGAAGCAGCGTTCAGCACACAGCCCCTCGTGCCTTCAGACGACCCGGCTGTGAGCAGACGTCCACCCAGCAGCTACCAGAGAGCCCCCAAGTCCAGGGAAGTAAAAGACACGAGGCCAAAGGGAAACGTCTACCAAACATCTGCTGAGCGGATGGCCAAGGGATCAGCTGTCGAGAGGAAGCCCATCTTGTCCCCAGTGTCGGTCCTGCACGCGGAGCAGCTCACAATGTTTTCTCAAACCTCAGGCAGGCTGGAAGAAGGCGCTCAGAATTCACTCGTGGCCGCCGCTGCCCACCTATGCTTAATTTAGAACGTCTTCCTGGCAAACATGACCACGCTTCCTCTCGCAAAACGTGGGGATCCCTGGCTGAGCCCGGTTCTCAATGACTGGTGGGGATTTTGGCATTTTAAGACGATTCGATTCCAAGCCAGGGGAGCTGAGGATTTAACACACCAAGTCCAGCCTTCCGAAGGAGCCCCCCAACCCCCCCCCCCCCCCCCCCCCCCA